TTTTGTATTTTAAAAATATTTTTAAAATTTTTATTTTTTTATTTTTTTCAAATTAATATTTTTAGATATTTTTAAATTATTTTAATGCATTCATATCAAAAGTAATTTTAAAAAAATAAAAAAATATTATTTTAATATATTTTCAAATAAAAAATATATTAAAAAATAACAACCATTACACTATCACATTAAAAAAAAAACAATCACTTTCAATGGCAAATAAAAATTCCAGAAGAATAGTAAAGAGGGGGGAGAATCTTTCGGTAGAAGAGGCAGTCAGTAAGTTTAGGAAAATTTTATGAACTGACTGTCCTTCTGGTAGGTCAGTGGTTGTTTTAGTTTTATTTATTTTTTATTTTAAAATATATTAAAATAATATTTTCTAATTTTTTAAAGATTTATTTTTAATAATAGTATTTAAAAACAATTTAAAAACGAAAAAAATCAATTTAGTAACACCAGCCAAACTAAACTAGGCTTTTAGAATTGCGCCCAAAAAACCTAGAAGTGAGAAAATCTGTTAACAATTTTTCTGAAAAAAAATTAAATAAATGGAGTCTAAATTCCACATTTCAATGCTGGGGGATGATTGGATAATGTTGCTGGATTGAACCCAGCCATGTGGTCCTATCATAATCGAGATCAACCAAATAACTAATAAAAAGAGACACTAGCATTCAGCACATCCAATCAATAACAAAAAAATCAACAAAAAGTCAAACAAACTACTAGCGTTATAGTGATAATAAGCTCAATTCATCTCCGCCACCACTGTGTACATAACGTTGGACAGCAAAAATTGAAAAACTTTTTAGTATGTGTCAAAGAATTGTTGTTGTGTGTTGGGTTTGTTGGAGATTGACTTGGCATTTATACTAGTATTTTCGTCCTATGTAGGGTCCAACTTAGCTGGCCTTTCTTCATTTGTTTCTTAGGATTGTTGGGTTATAAAAAAGTTTTTTTTTGGCTTTGGCTTCATTTTTTCTGTCAATTAAGAATTCTTATACATTAAATGAATGAGACAATAACATCATTATACATACTTATTTACCCTCGAATTAGGTCTATCTCCAGCATTGGGAGAGCTGTTATGATTTACCTGGAGAATAACATCACATTTGTTTAAGACAAAGATTTCCACTCTCAGTATGTAATTTTGTTGTGCCTTAAGTTGTCCTCTTCTTTTAGCCTAACAAGAATTTAGTTTTTTCTTATTCTTTTTAAGTTTGCAGGTAAGACATTTTGTTTGTTTGTTTACCTTTCGTTGTCTCGGTGTATGTGATGGGCTTTTATTGGAAGTGTTTTTTTTTTTCTTTTTATGGTTTTGTAAATGTTGACATGTCAGTTCTTGAGTTTTTATGGAAATGATTTTTCTTAGGGTTGAGTTATAAGGTTTCCAGTATGCTTTTCATTTTTGTGTTTATATTACTTTCAAGTTTATGCATTATTCTTTGGTCATTTATTGTTGCACCATTAGTTTAGTCATCTTATTTTTCTCTATTGCCTCTTATATTATCTCTATTCTTTTAGTTTTCTAATACTTCCTTTTTTGACATTGTTACCTTCAAATGCTCTTTGTTTTTAAGTGTTATACATGTGCTTTTTTATTATTATAAAACTTATTACCCTTCACTATTGTCAGATTGATGTTGTTACTGAGGTTAGATGATCTTTATACCAGGTTTTTGCTTAGTTATTTTAAACATTCCTCTCATTATGCATTTTATATACATCATCTACATTAACGTTGGTGCTTTCTACAAGATTTAGCTGAGATGCAATGTTATTTTATGTCGGAATTTGCATATATTTCTTTTATTGTCGAAGGATGGCCAACTTTTTTTTCTTTCCTTGCATTCCATTACCCTTAAGCTTTATATGTTGCTTTCTTGTCTTTGCTTTTTTAGTTTGTTTTTTATTCCTACCTTTATTGCATCTTTAATATGAATCTTGCTGTATATTTATTTTCAACAGCTTTGTTGAGTTTTTCTAATATTTTTTTCCAATCGGATAGTTGTTTTGTTGGGATTTTGACTTGCATGTCTTCCTTTGCTACTCTGTGTAAGTTTTTCTCATTTAGAATGTTTATTACTGTCTTTTTCGTGTTTGTTTGGGTATTGATGGGTCATGATTTTCTAAACTCCCTCATTTAAAGGCTATCACACGAAAGTCATAACTCAAAATAGGGTTATGTTTTCTGCGTGCCCAAACTTCAAGTCAAGTCATAACACATCCGCACTCAGCTCTAAGTTAAGTCATGATATGTCCACACCTGAAAACAACAACACATGGATTCAGCATATAGTTGAACCCAACTCCTCCTACAGCTAAACCCAGCCACATTTGAGTTTAACGTGCAAGTTGAACTCATCTTATCTTGGATTCAGTGTACAAATTGAACCCATATATACCTGTGTTTAGTGTATAGCTAAAAAGTAACCCCACTCTAACAAAGTGTAGAAATTCAAATTGTTTGTTTGATTTCTTTCTTAGCTAGGTTTGATAAGTTTGATTGGCTTCCTTTTGGAAAAAATAAAATAAAATAAAACCTTGGTTGTAGGTCCATCTAGGTAAATAAATGTTATAGGTTCTATTGAAAAACTATTCATTCACCACACAAATGTCTTTGGAATTGTGGTTTGGTGGTTAAAGAACAAAATATAAACAATGACCACAATATTTGAGTCTTGGAATTTTAAAAAACAAGATAAGGTGGCAGTGACTTAGTTCTACGCGTCCTCAATCAAGATAGAGGGCTAAGGGATTTTATTGCTTTTCTGAACATGAATAATTTTATAAGAACTACATGTAGTTAAGTTGAGATTCATATGGTTGTAATCTTATTAGTTTTACTTTGACAAGAAAAGTAATATCTAGATGGTGTATTTAATTGCTAGCATTGAGAGTTTTTTAATCAGTAGGAGGTTATTGTCATTGTTGGGTTGTTTTTGTTTGGGCTACATCTTCAAAGGCTAAAAAAACTAACAATTTAGTGTTTTTGAATTGATTTTGAAAACAAGTTGTTTTGTTTACATTGTTAGTCATTTTGTGTAGAGCCATCAATTGTTTTTTTGGTGTTTTTTTCCTGTAAGTTTAGCTATCCTATTTTTTTAATTCCATCTATAAAAATTATGTTATAATTCTTTTAATTCTATCTATAAAAATTATGTTATGATTGTTTCAAGTGATTGTATGTTAAATTTACCTAAATTGATTTGTTATTTTAAGGATTTTTTCTTTGTATCTTTAAGATGTATTGTTCTTGGACTAGATTACGATGTTTGGACACACATATACACACATTAGTTTCCAAATAATGTGGGGAGAGCATGCATTGACGTTTTTCCTTTTTCATTGCTAAATTAGTATTTTTCAAATGTGGATATTAAAAAGTTATTATTTATATAGTAGTTCTCATGAATGATTTTAAGTAGTTAAATGTTGATTTGTCATAACTAGATAAATATTTGTCCTAGATAAGTTACATGGATGACTTAACAAATGAATTTATGGACAAATAGAACAGATCTAGATTTAGAAGGAGGTTTGGTTACACTTGACCATAATAATGGCTCAAAAGGACTATAATTTTTTATCCACATAGAGACCATTTTATTTAAAGCAGCCATGGAATCACTACTCCGATTGTCAGATCTTTAAATTTAAAAACTTTCATTCTAGGGTCCTAATTTTTGCAGTTTTATAACTTTCCTTACAAACTAATCGATCATTTTACAAATTGGTTGACTAGTTTAATAAATTAGTCAACTGGTTAGTCTTGAATTTAAATAGATTTTACGGTTCATAACCGTAATATCACATCAATTAATTTTATTTTATTTTTTCACGGTTCCAATCATGATATAAAATGGATGTCTTGGTTGCAAACCACCACATTTAATTAAATGTCACAATTCCAAACTATGACATTCAAAAGTTTATTGTTTCACAACATATAAAAATATGTTATTTCACCAAAAAAATTTTGCTTCCATGCCATTTCACCATTTATTTGTATTTTACATATTAATTGTCTAATTCATCCAATTATCAGTCTCTTCCCGGTCAATGTTTAGAGTCTATTTGATATTATGATAATGATTAATTCTTAAAATATTTTTTTAAAAAAATATTTTGATTATTATTTTTAAAAATATATTTTTAATATCAGTATATCAAAATATTTTAAAAAATTAAAAATAAATAAATAATTTTAAAATAAGTAAAGAAAATTGTTATTACAATAATCATCCACCACAAAAAAGCCAAGATTAAGATATCATCCACTATTAACATCAAAGTGACCACCTAAGTAAAATAATTATTTAGAAATATATATATAAAAAACATGTTACTTTATATCTTATTTATTTTTGTATTTTAAAAATATTTTTTTAAATTTAATTTTTTTATTTGTTTTCTTTGATTTAAATTAATATTTTTAGATATTTTTAAATTATTTTAATGCATAATATCAAAAGTAATTTTGAAAAGATAAAAAAATATTATTTTAATATATTTTTAAATAAAAAATATATTAAAAAATAACCATCATTACATTATCACATTTTTTTTTTTAAAAAAACAATCACTTTCAACAGCAAATAAAAATTTTAAAAGAATAGTAAAGAGGAGGGAGAATCTTTTGGTAGAAAAGGCAGTCAATAAGTTTAGAAAAATTTTATGAACTGACTGTCCTTCTAGCAGTGTTGTTTTAGTTTTATTTATTTTTTATATTAAAATAATATTTTTTAATTTTTTAAAGATTTATTTTTAATAATAGTATTTAAAAACAATTTAAAAACAAAAAAAAAAATCAATTTAGTAACACCAGCCAAACTAAACTAGGCTTTTAGCATTGCGTCCAAAAAACCTAGAAGTGAGAAAATCTGTTAACAATTTTTCTGAAAAAAAATTAAATAAATGGAGGATGATTGGATAATGTTGCTGGATTGAAACCAGCCATGTGGACCTATCATAATCGAGATCAACCAAATAACTAATAAAAAGAGAAACTAGCATTCAGCACACCCAATCAACAACAAAAAAATCAACAAAAAGTCAAACAGACTACTAGCGTTACAGTGATAATAAACTCAATTCATCTCCGCCACCACTGTGTACAAAACGTTGGACAGCAAAAATTGAAAAACTTTTTTAACTTACAAAACACATCTTCATATCTATTATATATACAATCACACTGAACCCTGCGTCCCCTTTGTTGTAACAACCTTGACTTCAGGAGCCAATTGCCCACCACCACCGACGTGTCTCATCTCACCACCACCAATACCTTGAAACTGTGGTGGCATCTGCTGCTGCTGCTGCTGCACTACACCACCTGCCGCAGTATAGTAAACCTGTCTACCAACCGCATTATCATACGCTACCTGTGCATATCCGCCATCGGTCACAGCTACCCCAGGCCCACTGGGTCTCAGAACTCCCATGGGACCCATCGGTTGTGGTTGCTGACGGTGTTGTGGGACCACATTATATACCGGCTGCTCCCTGTAAACATCAGGACCATGACCTGGAGCACCCATTCTCTGCATGTAATATCCTTGACCCGTTTGTCCGGTAACCTGTCGCATTACTTGAGGTGCGTGATAAGCAGTTCCTTGAGCTGGACCCGATATCATATAAACGGGTTGCTCCATTTGACCCGGGGCAGTGGTCACCGCCACGGCTGCCGGAAACCCACCTCCAGCAGCCTGTTTCTCCGGCCAATAACCTGGTGGAGCAGTCACCTGGGGTGGCATTGTCACGGGTAGATTCGCCGGAGACACCTTTTCAGGCAATTTTTGCATGTAATAATCACCGCCAGCTACAGCATAACCACCAACCAAATTCTCATCGCTGTTTTTTCTATTACACCCAATTGACTGCTCATGTTCTCTAATTTGCATTCTCTGCAACTGGGCCTGCAAATTCGAAGGATCCGACCCAACAAACCTGACATCATGGCCAGACCCGACATGGATTTCAGGCAAATCTGGCACTTTAACAGGCGGAGGCGGTGGTGGAGCTCCTTTATCTAAACCAAATAAGAAATCAACGTTATTCGCTGGCGTTTTGGTTGCTTCCACAACCTGACTCGGACCCGAATTCAAAGCCTCAACAAAGCGCTCCCGATCCGATTTGTCACCATCGGACCCGAAACTTGCATGTGACGGGTTAACCGGGAAAAGAAACAACCTCATGCGAGCAGGCTTAGCAGAGGCACGATAAAGACGATCGTACTCATGCATCATGTGTTCTAGATCATCATCATTAGTGACAGATATTAAAGCGTCAAGATCTTCACCTGGGAGCTGGTACTTGAACGCCACGTCGGTGTCACCACAAAGAGCTGAGAGTTTGCTTATCATGACAGGGAATTTAAGGTTTCGATCAACCGCAAGGATTTTGGTCTCTCCACCTATGTAAGAAAGCTGGTTGTCATGCGGACGCGGGTGGATCTTGCCCCCATAACTACACATGAACTTAACTTTGTAGTTTTGAGATTGTTGCGATTGTTCTTCCCATGGTGCCGGGTTGTCAAAATCAATTTCACGAGATCTGGGCGACGAGTCGCCTGAATCCGGGTATGAATTAAAAGAATAGTTGTTTTCCATGAAGAAATTTTTTGGTAGAAAATAGAGTCTTGTGGCTTTTTGTGCGAGCTGGATAGTTAGCAAGCCATGATACTTGAGGAGCAGGAGGGGAGAGAATCGGAGTGGTCAGTGGACTAAACAAGTGTTTGATCCTTTTCGTTTTGCTGTGGGCACTGATGGTTTGATGGACTTCTTGTGCAACGTTCAGTTTTATTGGGTGCGTGGGACAGGTGGTGGTGTGAGAAATGGGGAGGGACGGAATAGAGTGAAACACGGTTCCAGAGGGAGAGTTGAGTACAAGGGCTAGATGGACTTTTTCGGTAGAGTGGTGGGGTCCCGATGAGCATTGATTGAGAGGGTGAAAGAGAAAGTGATAAGACACTGATGTGTTGACCGGGAGAGGGAGGAGCACGAGGGTAACTTTGGTAATTACATTTAAATTTTATTTATTTAAAAATATATAAAAATAATGTCCTTTAACTTTTAAAAAAATATTTTTAATATTATAAATTAAAATGATTCAGAAATATAAAAAATAATTATAAATAAAAAATTAAAATTGCATAAAACACTGATTAGATCAGCTCTTAACACGTGCCAGCTGGGAAGTGAAGCATGCGCAAAACACTCCAAGCTGTTGAAAAAGGTTAGTTGAGATGTACACTCTCAAGAAAGGATGACTGATCACGATGCTGATATTTCCCTCACGGAGGATATACTTTTGTTGATATGTTACTCTACATTATCCTACGGGTATATATATGGAGATCTTATGAGTGCATTGATGCGATTTTTTTGTCGGACAATAAAAGATATTTCAGATCATTTATTGTTTTAACCTTTATGTATTTTAATGTGACAATCTTAAATTATATTTTTATATAATTTAATAAAATATATTTATCAAAATAATCTAAAATTCAGGTTTTTAAATCTAAAGTAGAAAATCACTGGTTTCTAACTGGATATAAAATAAAGCTGTGAGTCCTTGTAGCAAAATATAGCTTGAAAATAATTTTATTGTTAAAAAGCTAAAAAGGTGCTACGTATTTCAGAAATGTACGAGTATGGGCAATTTTGAGATAATGGGGGAGTAGAAGCAAACAGCTCTAGATTTTTAGTTGTTTGCAGTAAATAATGTAATGTATATCTAAACGGGTAATAGAAGTTTCTTTTTTTAAATAATTTTTGTTTGAAAATATATGAAATAATTTTTTAAAAAAATATTATGTTTAATATTAATACATCAAAAAAAAACAGAGCAAAAAAATTTAAAGAAAAAAAACAAAAAAAAACAGAGCAAAAAAATTTAAAGAATTTAAAAAATATAATTAAATCATAATATCAATCAACTTAAAAATTAAAAAAAATATTAAGTATATCATAATTTATGAGTTCTTAAGTGTCCCATGTCATCAGGTGAGAAAAGTAAAGGAAGTAGTAGATTTTTTTAAAATTATTTATTTAATTTTTCATCAAAAAACACACTTATTTTCTTGTATTGTATTTATGAGATAATTTAAATTTTAGTTAAAGAATAACATTCACTTCAAAACAGATTTTAAAAAACTATTATAATGACTTTGATGGAGATCTCATAACAAGAAGCTAATCTTTTATCAGATTCTAACAAAAAAGTTAAGTTAGTTTTATAAAAACAATATATATTAAAGGAAGTTAATTCTTATTTGGAAAAAGAACCTAAAAAAATAAATGAATTCAGTTATAAAAACTCTTTTATAAGAGCCTGTTTTCTAGATTAAAAGATAGTTGAACAATGTCAAGAAGAAAAATATACCTTAGAGGATGATGAAGATGACTAACGTAAGTGTGGGATTTCATTAAAGACATTAAACCTTGAACCCTAGTGGATGCACGGGTTTACCAATTTGGTTGGTAGATCTAATTATGCACTGTATTGAGACAAACAATTTAATTATTTTGTGGAATGATAGTTTTTGTTCTAGTTTCACAACTTTGAGAGGTATTTGTTAATGTGATATCTCTCTCTGTATATTTTTTTATATCTGGAAAGACCATCCCAACTTATTTGTCAAGCAGTTGAGTTGGGTGCATAAAGTCCTTTTTAAGTAAATAGAAAAGACCTAAGTTGTCTCATTCATGCTTTGTGGACAACATGTTTTTTTTGTTGAAGTTAATGAGTACCAAATAAAGCTAGTTATGAATGACTTGAATTTTTATTTTTTTTTATGATGCTTTAAGATAAAAGGTGAGTGTTGACAAAATAAAGATGTCTTGCTATAAAAATATCTCTCACAAGATGGTAAAATATTAAATCGAATGAGTGGGTTTACTATTATTGAAGATCCTAGAAAGTATTTGGAGGTACCTATATAACATCATAGAATTACTAAACACATGTATAGTTACTTAATTAAGAATATGCATCAGAAGTTGGCTAGCTGAAAAGTTAAAAGTATATCATTAGCATGAAGAATTACACTTTGTAAATCATTTATTGCATCAGTTCATTTATATGCAATGCAATCCTCTCTCATTCCAAAATAATATAAACCCTTAAATATAATAATTTTATCTTGATTTTATAAAATAAAATAAAATAAAATACAAAGGATGTGAAGAATGATTAAATTAAACAAATTAATTGGATTAAAAGAGAAGTTATTTAATGAGAGGCATGAAATTAAAAAAAAAATAAAAAGTTAGTAAAGAGAAAGAGAAGTAGTGGGGGTCAATGGATTGATAAAAGGAATGATGGGGTCAATTTAAAAATAGAAGTAAATATGAGGGGCAGATGCAAATAAGAAAAGAATATAAATATAAATATAAACAACAAGAAATCTCTAGAAATCCCTAAAGTAATGGTTGACTAAGAAGAGAAAAAAAAAGGAGAAAAGAAAAAATAAGAGAAAATCTTGTAAATTCATCCTTTGAATCCAAATAAAAGTGAGAGTAAATGAACTGAAAGTGCTTTATGTAAGATTTAGAAAGAAAATTTAGAAAAAAATTAATAGTGGGAAGGAAAGGGTTAGAAGAAGAAAGGAAAGAGAATAGAAAAGGAGGTTGTTCTCAATCTCTTTACTTATTATTTTGTAATAAAAGGTAACAAGCTCTCTTATTAAGTAACTTGAATTTGTCTGTGTTTTTCTTAAAAAATTAAGATTTTAAAATACCTTAGTATAGGTTTAAGAAGTTTGTTAAATACTGATAGGTGGATGAAATGATAGGAAAAAAAAATACATAGAAAACAAATTTATACAGATGAAATGATAGGAAAAAAAATACATAGAAAACAAATTTATACTTATTGAATTTAGAAATCAAAACTGGACAAGTTGTCTATCAACTTTTCTGTTAAGATTTGAACCCTAAAATGATAGAATTTGAGATACTTGTCCTATAAAAGTTGTAGATCCATGTTATAGTGTTCCAAATAAACAAAACATGCATAAAACCAAGCTCTGTAGCTTCAGTTATACTCAAAATACTAAATAGTATTCATACAGTAATAGTTTAATGTTCATTGGTGAACAATTTTGACTGTCTTAAGGGTAGAACTGGATTATCCTTCCTACATAGAACTTATAGCCTCGTGTCTTAACTTTCCAACGAGACTAATCTTGCTTGAAATGGAGTTCTATAACTCCAGATATAGTTAAAAATTTAAGGAAAGGTCAGACAGTAATAGTTCAATTTTTTGGACAATAACAATCCAACATTCATTAATGAGCAATTTTGACTGTTTTGGAAGCAGAACTAGGTTATCCTTCTTACATAAAACTTATAATCTTGTGTCTTAGATTTTCAACGAGACTAATCTCCCTTGAAATAGAGTTTTATAACTTTAGATATTGTTAAAAATCTAAGGAGAGATCAGACAGTAACAGTTCAATTTTTTAGACAGTAACAGTCCAACGTTCGTTGATGAGTAATTTTGATGATTTTGGAGGCAGAATTGGGTTATCCTTCCTACATAGAATTTGTAACCTCATGTCTTAGATCTTTGTTTCCATGCCTTTTGTTTAAATTGAATTTTTGTTTTAACTTTTCCCTTCAACATTGTGTTTTATGATATTAGAGTTTCATTATTTTATTCAATTTTATTTCTACGAGGTTAACATAGTCTCAGGACTATATCGTGTGTTTGGCAGTCTAACTTATAACTAGTTTTTGGTCTTTTTTTAACTTGATTTTTTTTTTCAAATTCATTCTTCAACATTTGATTTTCTTGTAATTGAACTTTGAATTTCTTTTTGCTTTCTATGAGTTATCATGTTTTCATTTAATTTTTTCTTCATTATCAAATCTTAAGAGGATATCTTTCTGTAGTATTCTTAAACATTCATTTTTTGAGTTGATCATTTTATATATTTTTTTTAGTTTGGTTTATTTATTGTTATTTTTTAATTATGTATTTAAATTAATCATGCTTATTGTCCAGTCAAGTTAATGACCTGATTCTCATTTTTTTTTTCCTTACTTCATTAAAAATACTAGTGTCACCTCAATATTTTTTTAAAACTTTTAAAAAATTTTGATTTAGCCAACAGCGTCGCACAAGCCACCTATTTAGTAATTAAGAAACTCTGTTAGGTAGCATGGATAAGAACATGATGCTCTAATGTGATTAAATTAACAACTAGTGATATATATTAAAAGGGCTTAACTTTTATTATAGCAATTGATAATGAAATGCCAAGCCTTTTTTCATTTTGGTCCTCAAAAGTTATAAGGATGTTTTTTAATCTTGAACATTTTTTTTATCTCATTTTTCAACATTGAATCTACTAAATATTGAACTTTATAATTTATTTTAGTTTTCTTTCTATGAAGTTATTCATGTCTTATAACTTGGGTTACATGTTTTATGGGTTAGCCATGTTAATTCTGGTTATTTTTTTTTTGTCTTTTTTAATTATTATTTTTAATTTTATCCTTCAACATTGATTTGATTAAGAATAGAGCTTTATAATTGTTTTTTTATTTACTTTCTATGAAGTTATTATGGTCTCATGACTCCATTTGTGAGGTTTACAAGTTAAACATATTGACTCAATTTTTGTTGTTATTTCTTTAGTTGAATTTTTTTTTTATTTCATCCTTCAACATTAGGTTAATTAAAATTTTGACTTTATAATTTTTATGATTTTATTTTTATAGAGTTATCTTAATCTCTTGAGTTAGTTTTGACATGCTAGCTCAAGTTGACCTGAGTTATTTTTTTGTCTTTTTTTTATTTGATTTTTTTTAATTTATTCCTTC